AATTGTAGTAGAATGCTGGCATCTTTTAATGCTTCTCCTAAATGGAAACACGAGAAACCAGACAAGATCATAAAAGTTTATTCAACTCGTCAACTATTTTTACAGACTTATAGGGATGTGAACGTTGTTAATCATTTTATGCTCAACTCATTTGAGAAAACTTTATATGTTTATAAAAACTCTAATTGGTAGTAATAGATTGTTTTATTATGCACAAAATTGTCACTTTATACTTGGTTGTTTAAATACACAGAATGGTGAATCTGCTGAACTTATAACATGACCTGTTGAAAAGCGGATTGAAATTAAAGTTTTTATTAAAAACAATACTCATTGAAAGGCATAACATTCAATTATCTCTCAGTATTTAACTTAATTGTGTCATGGTGTCAACACAAATAAACAAGTTGGTTTTAGTTGTAACCTATTCATTATGCATAATTTAAATGAAATTAATTAATAATTGATATTAACAAGGTATAAATACATGTCAGTTATACTTTTCGGATCAGGTTCTTCTATTCATTTTATTAGGTTTATTGAAAAAAAATTGTTACATTTTTTATATATTTCCCCCATAATATTAAAGTGCAATTGATAATTTTAGCTTCATAACTTTAAATGGAGCCCCTTTCTAAATGATGCAACAAATGGCTAATATTTTTATACCCGTTACTCGTAGAGTAAAAGGGTATATTGTATTCGTGCAAAAGTATGTAACAGCTAGAAGGAAGCGTTTCCGACCCTATAAAGTATATATATTCTTGATCAGTGTCACTAGCCGAGTCGATATAGCCATGTCCGTCTGTCCGTCTGTCCGTCTGTCCGTCTGTCTGTCCGTCTGTCTGTCTGTCCGTATGAACGCTGAGATCTCGGAAACTATAAAAGCTAGAAGATTGGCATTTTGCATGCAGATTCTAGGAGTTCCTACGCAGCGCAAGTTTGTTTTAAAAAGGTGCCACGCCCCCTTTAACTCCCACAATCGCTTATATTAGATTTTAAAAATTGAAATATTTCGGAAAAGTAAAAATGCAGTTTTATTGTGTTTATCAATACCTATCGAAATGTAGAAGAAATTTTTCAAATCGGACCATTCGTTAAAAAGTTATGCGTGATCAAATTTTCTATCTCCATCTCCCTCGCACTCCCTTTACCTGAGTAACGGGTATCTGATAGTCGGGGCACCCGACTATAGCGTTCTCTCTTGTTTTATTGTCGAATTCAACTGCTTTCTCTGCCACGCCCCTTTTTCCATTTCTCCCGCCTTTCCTTAAATTTCATCTTTCCCCCATGGCAATTAAACGAAGTTCGCAGTAACTTCAGCCATTTACCGCCTAACGGCAGCTTGGCGCAACATTGGCGGCGACATTGGCTGTGATGATGTGATGATGTGAGGCTGCGAGTGAACCGGCGATTGCTATAAAGATAACAACAAATAGCATTGACTAAGGTTATATATCTGGGCACGACGAAGCGGGGATATATAGCCTCCGATCTCGAGTGTCGGTTGAGCAATGCGACTATGTGCCACTGGACTGGCACCCGCATAACTACTAAAGTCGGAGCTGCGAATGGATGCGAGGGGTATTGGGGACCCACTCGCAGTGGCAGTTCATTATGTAAACAAAGCAAGGAAAACAAGAAATCTGGCCACAAATCAATAGAAAATGCAAGTGTTTTTTTTATTTTTATTTCGCTTGTCGCTTCCGACCGACTGACAAAGCGACTGACTGACCGAGTGCGGCTGTCTCAGACTCTGTAGATCTGTGGATGTGTCTCGATCTGGATCTGGAAATGGAGTTTCAGTTGGAGTTGGCTGGCCAGAAAACCCCAACTCGGTCCAGTTATGAATAAACATTTGCCGCATGTTTGTCGGGCCTAATGGAACGCGTGTGTCCAGCTGGTAAGAGAAATGAAAATGCTTTGTCGTCCGATATTTCTCTTTCGCCATTTCATTTTCATTTTATTACATTGCAATTAGCAAGTCAAACGAAACAAGTTGTCCTGGTTCAGCCTGTTTATTTTTTTTGGGCCTGCTTTGCAGTGGATTTTCCCCAGTGCAATTGGCATTTAGGCAGTCGGAGATGGGCCGAAAACGTGCCCTGACCCACCGTAGATTATCGGTTCGATTCTGTGAATTATGGAAGTCAGCCACCCAGCCGACCCCGCAATTAACGACAGTTTGGACGGGCCCAGTTTGGGCGCCAAGATTCGTGGCCCAGAGGGACCCAGCATCCAGCACTCGGCATCCAGCATCCAACATCCATAATCCAGCCAGATAAATCTAGTTAGCTGCGATTGCGCAATCCCAGTGGGCGTATGCGTAGTCCAGCCCATGGCCAATCGAAAGTTTGAGTAGCGGGCTAATTAGACAATTTCTTTATTATCAACGGAGAATACAAAACTGCACCGGAAAATAGAAAAACATTAAATACTTGGCATTTCAAAAATATATACATCATTTGTGAAAAATACTTACATATTCAAAAAGTTAAAAATATTTGACTAACAAAACAAAGAAGAGCTTAAAATATTATGAAATAATAAGTTAAAGCTAGTGTGGTAATTATTAATGACACATTTCGCTAATCGATTGCTATGTATAAGTTTGTACAACTATACTTTTATAGTATTAAAGTGACAAATTATAAATTAAAACTATTATAAAATTTTGCTTTCAAAAAGGTGTTTTGAGTAAACGTTGTTTTTTAGAGAATTTGGTATTAACATATTAAAAGTTTTAAGATATGTAAAAACAAATGTAGAATGTGTCAATTAAAGATTACTTATCTTGTTTTATCAAATTTTCCAAATATCAGGAATCTTATCAAAAAGTTTATTTTAATAAATAAATCTAGAAAAAAGATATGAAAACAAGAAAGGAAAGCTAACTTCGGGCGGAGCCGAAGTTGAAATACCCTTGCAGAATATTTTGCAAATTATATTCTCCAAAATTATTCATATTATGCATTCTTAATACTCATAAAAAATCCCAACTTCCTAACTTTAAAAACACCAAAGTTATGGCATTTCCAATCGTTCAGTTATGTATATGGCAGCTATAGAATATAGTCGGCCGATCCTTATGAAATTTGATATTTCGGATTGATTGGGCAAAAATAAAACCCGTAGAAAATCCCAACTTCCTAACTTAACAATCACTAAAGTTATGGCATTTCCGATCAATCAGTTATATGGCAGCTATAAGATATAGTCGGCCGATTCTTATGAAATTTGGTAGGTCGGATTAATTGGCCAAAAATAAAACCCATAGAAAATACCAACTTCCTAACTTTACAAACACCAAAGATATGGCATTTCCGATCATTCAGTTATATAGCAGCTATAGGATATAGTCGGCCGATCCTTATGAAATTTGGTACGTCGGATTGATTGGCCAAATATAATACCCATAGAGAGTCCCAACTTCCTAACTTAACAAACAGCAGAGTTATGGCATTTCCGATCAATCAGTTATATGGCAGCTATAGGATATAGTCATCCGATCCTTATGAAATTTGATAGGTCGGATTGATTGGCTAAAAATAAAACCCATAGAAAATTCCAACTTCCTAACTTAACAAACACCAAAGTTATGGCATTTCCGATCGTTCAGTTATATGGCAGCTATAAGATATAGTCGGCCGATTCTCATGAAATTCGGTAGGTCAGATTGATTGGCCAAAAATAAAACCTATAGAAAATCTCAACTTCCTAACTTTACAAACACCAAAGTTATGGCATTTCCGATCGTTCAGTTATATGACAGCTATAGGATATAGTCGTCCGATCCCGGCCGTTCCGACTTATATACTGCGTGCAAAGGAAAGAAGGGTGTGTGCAAAGTTTCAATTCGATAGCTTTAAAACTGAGAGACTAGTTCGCGTAGAAACAGACAGACGGACAGACAGACGGACAGACGGACAGACGGACAGACGGACAGACGGACGGACGGACAGACGGACAGACGGACAGACGGACATGGCTATATCAACTCAGGAGGTGATCCTGATCAAGAATATATATACTTTATAGGGTCGGAGATGCCTCCTTCACTGCGTTGCACACTTTTGACCAAAATTATAATACCCTCTGCAAGGGTATAAAAAAGAATTTCTTCTTTGTACCAATCAAAACGATTTTTTTCGGTGCTTAGTGGCTATTGCAGCCTTTCACAAAGGCCCCGAGGCAATTACAGATGTAACTAATCAAAAGGGCATTGGTTTTTATGAACTGGCGATCATCCGAGTGGGAAGACCTGGAACAAAACTGGGCAGAGGCGATGGCGATGGCGTCACCTTCTGTTCAAATCTTTGCATTGCCAGCGAGACGTGCCTCGAAAACTGCCGAGGAAAAAAAAACGTTAACCATCATGATGCAAGAGAAAGAAAGTAACCACTCGCGGCTCATAAACGGCAATCTCCTCCAAGCCGAAGCCAAAGCCTAGCCCATGGATTGGCCATAAGAAAAGGGACCAGGTGCCTGGTGTGGGTCAGGCCAATCCACTCGAGCTGCTAGTCACGTTAGGGCATGTTAGCCAACCGTCAAAGATCGCAAAGATCCATAATGTGCATATTGCCGAGGGTTCGGGGGCCTTTGTCTTTATCGACTGCTCGCTTTTTGACACTAAATTGCCTTGACTAAAACTCTGGCCCCTAACGAAGTGTGAAAGATGCTGGTCTTTGATTCGCTTTGATTGCCCAACTTGTGGCATGCACCGTCCAATATCCACCGTCCACCATTCAATCCACACCAGCTCCAGCTTTTGGGCTGCTGTGCACCGTGAAGATGTAGTTAACAACGTGACTATGTAATCAGCATCGCTGCAGCCGCTAGGAAGTGGCTGCTCCGAGCTTTCAACTGCTGCCGTAACCGCAAAGTGCAAATGATTTTCACCCCGGCCACTCCTCCGGGGCCAAGCTCCAATCTCCTCCGGTCAGCGCCCACTCTTCTCGGCCGCTTCGTTATGTTTCTAATCAAATTAATTTCGCCAGCAGCTCATGCCCACGTGTCCGGTCAACATGGCGTATGGATTGGGAGTCGTTTTCGTGATCCTATGGCTGCTGCAGATTGCGCATACGCAGCGTGGGTCGGCCGGACACATCGAGTTTTACAACGATTACGGCAAAAATCATGATGACGAAAGGGTGAGTGTGGCACCTATTACCTTACACTGAGAATAAAGTATTTAAATAATAATAATAATAAATATACAATGTATCAAATTCTTAATATAAACACAGGTTAACTTTAAACTATGTTTAATTAATTCGTACTAGATTATTTTTTTTTGGTTTTAAATCGACAACCTAATAACACAAAATTTGTTTAAAGTTTTTTACACATGCGAATAGTGATATAAATAAATTAACCTGCATTATTTTGAGCTTATATCTCAAGGATATCTTATGTATTTCATAATTCTGAAAATGAAAAATCGTATTTAATTTAAAGAAATAAATTTAAGTGTTAACTGGAGTAAACTGTGTTCATCTGCGATACAGCATTTCACCCTAGTTGTTTTGTTGATATTAGCGGTTTTATTTAACATCGTCATCACCTGTTAATTACCCTAATTGGTTAGATATATATATTCTTTTTCTGGGTTACAAATATCGTTGGTATTGTAACAAAATGACACACATATCATAGATTGTTAAATACATCTAAGTAATATGTTTTCTATTCAATTGTCCCTCCTCTCCACAGCTGCACTACTCGCATCAGTATCACATTTCCGATGTGGGCAGCCAGGTGCACATCCTCCACCAAGAGCAGCGGCAGGGAGACCACGTATCCGGATCTTATTCCCACCTGGAGCCCAATGGACACATCCGCAGTGTGCACTACGAGGTGCGAGGACCCAGGCGGGGATTCAAGGCAGTCGTTGAGCAGCGAACCGGGAACAGTCGGGTGCATCAGGCCCTGGAATTCCGGAGCAGGCAACCGATCCGGGCTCTGGCCATCGCCGAGCCTGTGGCATTTGTGATTTAAGACATCCAGTGGCGTGAAACCGGCCCGAAAAAAAAACAACAAACGACAAGCGACAAACGAATTATTTGTTTTGTTTTCGCAGCCGTAAATTGCAAAATGTTTAATTGTCTTTCAATAACTTCGCTGACTTGTTAAGTGGATTTCTAATTTGAAATTTAAATTGATTTCGGGAGGGGCCCATAAAATGTAAACGAACAATTTTATTAAACTTAAAATGTAAATATTTTGGGGCTATAATTCAGGCAAAGCGGAATGAATGAATAAAATTATATTCCTTTTGTTTTTGGAAACAAAAAAAAAAAACTAGATGCAAATGTATTTTGATTGTTATCTTTGAGTTGCTTTTGTGAAAAGAAATTTATGGCTACCTTTAGCAGCCCTATTATTTTTAAACCAATCTTGTGGGTCTGCCTTTTAGCTTGAGTAATTGTTTAGGCCACCGAACAAACGGCATTAAATTAAACACTTAGTGAGTAGAAAAAGAGTCAGCTACTTCACTTTTCAAGCCGCATATGAATGTCTGGCTTAATTATAATAAATTAAGCCCCTCTGTGCAGTGTTGACGTTTTGTTGCGCTACTAAACCCGTTGTCAAACCGTGAAACTCGGCTAACGACACCTAACGAAGCCAAAGGAGCCGTAAATAAATCAAATATTTTTGGGGTGCAGAAAAAGAATGATTGTATTTTTGTTTGCGTTTAGTGCTAATTGTATTGCTTCCATTGCTGCCGTTGACGTCTCTTGGTCAGGGTCTGCGCAGGCCGCTCTGTGATCACCGATCGGCTTAAATGATGGCCCAGAAGCCGCCGCCGTTCAACGACACCGCTAATTGCCCTGGCTAATTGCCGTATGTTTTGTTAGCACTGCTTTTTGTGCCCAGTTTCGAGTGCCTGCGGCTATAAAAAGTCGTTCAAGAAAGTGCCAATCAGTGGTGGGTCCGTTATTCCGTTTGACAGCTCACCTTGTCCGGCTTGCCCTTTTGTTGACCCCCCCAGCGGGCAATTAAAATGCAATTTAGGCGCCATCTTCCTCGGTCGAGCAATGTTTATTTCCCCCTTCTTTCATCTACTTATTTTCTCCTTTTTATACGCTTTCAGGTATTAAAATTTCAGTCAAAAATTTGTCTCGCAGTGAAGGGCACATTTCCAAACCTATATAGTGTATATATTCTTCATTAACATCCGTCAATCTTGTAAAAAGGAATATAAAATTATAGCTTCCTAGTTTGATAACATATACCTATATACTCCAAGATATACCTACTTTACATTTTACCTTGATATTATATAGCTGTTATAGAAACGATCGAAAACTTTATCTCAAAATAATGAATATTTAATTTTTGTAAGAGGTGCAAGGGTATATAAACTTCAGCATGCCAAAATTAGCTTTTGCATGTTTGTCATTTTAACGTTGACAAATTTGACCCATTTTATGTTAGTTATTTTCAAGTTTCCGATGACTTGTAAAAAAGGCATACCATTTATGTCTAGTGATTTAATTCTTTAATAATCTGCACTCACATTTGTACTTTTAAAGTTTATTAAGTTTTTGACCCATTTTCATGTAAGTAATTTTTAGGATTCCGATGACTTGTGGGCCACAATTGGAATTAAAGTGACAAATTTGATCGAAAACTGTACTGCAAAATTGACCTAGCTTAATTGTTTTTTAGCATCGAAACCGAAATAGAATATTGCCGAAGTTTAATTCCTTTCTCAGAGTTACCTCATATGAATTTGTTAAGTTAGTCGTCTCAGTCTTTTGTTTGAACTATTATTGCCATATTACCATATACTTACATTAAACTCAAGTTTGTCGCCTAAGTCTTTTGATTTTTCAGTTTAAACTTGTAAGCAGCATTTGTATGTTTCTATTGGCTTCTTTCTTTGGTATCTATCTTTCTTTATTTTAGGTTTAAATAGTTAAAATAAAAAAATTAAATACTCAAATCCATTCCCCATGTGTTGGAAGTTCGTCGCCTAAGTCATTTGGCTTGAGGGAAGCTGTTACCTATTGCAATAAAACTATATCTCCTAACTACTAAATTTTAGTATTTACTTTTTCTTTTAGTTACTACACGTGTTTTTACTGTCCATCATTAATCTCTTCCCACCAGTATTTTATTTTAGTTTATGTTATTTTCTTTCAATTACTGCAGAAGCCCACTTTGGGATATATAAATTTCAATTAGGTTTTACGATGGCCATCTGAAGTTCGTTGCGTAAGTTCCTTAATTTTGATCAGGTGTAATTATAAGCATTCTTTTTTCCACAGCAGTAATTTTTATGTTTTTTTTTTTAGAATTACCGCACTTGTCTTTTGATTTTGCGATAAATCCTTCCTTAGCTTCAATTACTATGTTTACCACACATGTTCATGTGAAGTTCGTTGCCCAAGTTCCTTAACTTCGATTAGGTTTTATTATGGGATGTTTAATTTTATTAATAGTTATTTACAACATTGTGGGCAAGTCTTAAAGTTAATGTTCGCTTTAATGTTTTCTTGTTTCGCGATTGTTTTTTGCTGTCGCCGCTGGCCGCTCAACTGGTCTGCAACGAGTTTTGCTCCTGCTGCAGCAGCTTCTTCTTCGACGCCATCTTCTCCTGCTCCATGTGCAGCTGGAGGAGCATCTTCTGCCTGGTGTGCTTCTTCAGATGGGCGCTCTTCTCGTGTGCCAGCTTGTAATTGGCAATTGTTGTGGGCTGCTGCGTGCTCGTAGATGTTGTCGTTGTGGATGATGGTGGTGGTGCAGGTGTGGTGGAGGTGGAGGTGGTGCTGCTGCTTGTTGAGGTGCTGGAAGTGGTGCTTGTCGTGGAGGAACTGAGATGGCGAGCCTGCTCCTCGTCGAGCCGCTTCTCGAGCTCCGCCTGCCATTCCAAGGCCTTCTCCTCCACCGGCAACTGCTGCAACTGCAACTGCAACGAGATGATGCATGCGATTATGACATGGACATGGATGGTGGATGGGGCAAGATGATTGTGAAAGGGAGAGTGAGCGGAATGCTTGAGTGGGTGGATCTGGCTGAGAGCCATTTACAATAATGTCAAAAGCGTGGGGATTTCGTGTCTCTGAGGTCTGGCTTTAATCTCTTGTACAATTTATATATAGGTAGTTCTAAATGCATATCAGGTATCGCGGCGGTTCAGTAGCGCACATATCGCCTGCGACTCTCGTATTGCCTTACATAGTTCCAGGGGTACGCGTACTTGGCCTTCTCGTAGGCCTTGTACTTCTTGGTCTTCGCGTTGTATTTGCCCTGCAGCTTGTCGTTCACCACGATCGCCGTGTACTTGGTGCCCACACCGGGCACATACTGGGCGGCCAGTCCGGGCACGGAGGTCACTCCGCCGCTGTAAGAGCTGCTAGCAAGCTGGCCGTAGTTGTTGCCCGCGGGCGGCTGGTTGTTGTAGTTGGGCGGGGCATAGGGTCCGGCGGGAATCGCCCAGGTCCTTGGTCGCGAAGGCGGTGGCAGGACGTAGCTAATAAGTGAAGAAAAATAAAAAGCGGGTTAAAAAAAACACTTGAAATCATTTATCCTTAGATTTATAGCCTTTTTTTGATGCTTCATAAACCATTTTTAAAGCATTTTACTCTTAAAGTTTTACAAGTATTTTTAAAATAATAATTACTTTCTAATCATATAGTCTTTTTGGTATTCATTTCCTTTTATTTTTAAATTAATGAATATTTAAGGCAGAATAATATTACCTTTTTAACATATACCTCGTTATAGCAAGATAAAAGTAGCTTGTTATATAAACAATCGTCTAAAATTTGAAAGTTTAGTAGCTAGTTTAAATATGGCAAACTGATTTATAATTTTATTAACGATCACATTTACTTTGCTGTATTTAAAAATTTAATTATATTGATTTATAAGTATCATAAAATAATATTATAGAAATTAAAATTAGGTGGGCTCAACGTTAGTATTTAATTTTACAAACACACACACTTATTTAGCAAAGGTAAAACCACTGTATTATTTTCATTTCCTCTATATCTGGCTGTCAGCCAAAATTGGAAAATACCAGAAATTGAATGGATTTATATAAATTATTTACATACAAATAAGTGACCCTTGCAGCTAGTTTTTCTGGTTGGCGATCGCCGAAACCCGTTTGCACTTACACATAGGGATTGGGGTTGGGTATGTCATCGCTCTGGTCCTCCCAGACGGGCGCCGGATCCCGGTATGGCTTCCTCGGGGGCTGCGGGGTGGTGCGCGGCGGGGGTGGTGCTATCGGTCCCGTGTTGGTGCCCCAGTCCACCCGGATGGCCTGCGCCTGGAGGCTGAAACTGGCGACTGTGGCGACTAGCAGCAGGCAAGGAGTGAGCTGGAAAACGAGTTTCGGGTGAGAGTGAATCCTGGCCAGAAAGTAGAGGGTGCTTTGCATTGTCACGTTTGGCAAATTGCTACACGATGCCGATTGCTGATTGCTTATATCATTTAGAAGCGATCGAGATAAACCGATTCGAGATTCAAAAACAAATGTCATAAAACCCGCTTCGCCTTATCAACGCAACCTCGACTCGATGATCAATTAAATTCGCTTTATTTAGTCGCCTGGCAAATTGACAGACACAGCCAAATCAATTTCAATTTCAGTTCGGACTTGAACTCAATATGTGTGTATAACTCGAATGTAATAACAATAATTACATATGAAAACACCCCCCCTCTTGTTCGTAAAACAATGTCAAGTGTTAAATTGTTGCAGCTGCTTGAGTTTTTTTGTTTGGAAAAAGCACTCAAATATTCAAAGAAATTATTTATTTTATTGTTCGCTTATTGCCTTGCACTTTGCTCAGATGTTTGGCCTATGAATCGCAATTACCTATAAATATTTATGACGACTGTTTGTTGGGTTAATTGAATTACCCGCTCAAATAATAGATTTATTGTTGATTAATTACATTCAGTTCGAGTTTTTATACACTCCACTGTCGCTTGACACTTTTTATGCGATTTTCAAATCGATTACAATGGACAACACTGCAGAATGTGGCATTATTTATGGTTGGTTCTGTTTTCCCCCAGCCATTCGCACTGATTGCCGACTGTTTGCTTAACTAATGAGCCTTGAGGAAGTGTGTTTTGTAGACCGCCGCCAAACGCACCCAATTCAAAAGCCAAAACGCCGGCAATATGGGGCTAAACCTTTGCGGCCAAATATGGTCATTAGTTACGTCACGGCATAGAGTTATGGCCCGGCTGGGAGGATAGGCATCTGGCTACAAATTTGTCAGCACAGTAAATGCCAAAAATGGCATCGATAACGCTGATGTATGGATGCCATCTGTTGGTCGGCTCAGGATTGCTTGAGGTTTATTTTTATTGACCAATTTGAGGGGCTGGGATTCTTTTGGCGACTACAAATCGATCTATTTTGTTCGCCAATTTTCCCATGGTTGACAATCCAATTGATTAATTGTGAGCTAATTTTGAAAAAAAAAACAGTACACAGACAAAATCTGACGATCTTTTTGACATTGTAGTTCTCAAAAAAAAAATACTTGAAACTATTTATGATATTTAATAATATATGATATTTAATATAAACCATTATGTTTATACGTTTTGCTTTACAAATTAGAAAATTATTTATTTTAATTAATATCTTAATTAATTTGTATCTACTTTTTAGATAGTTTATTCATTTGTTTTATTTAATTATGTCATTATGTTGTATACGCGATTTCCGTAAGTGTTGCAACTATTACCTTAAATCTATGCGTGTTATATTTTTTCACCAAAAAGCTTCCAATTATGTTTAACAAAATGAATTTTAGGCCTATCTACCTTAATAAAATGCTAATTAACTGTTTCTATTAATATTTTAAGTCAACAAAATATGACACAATATAAGATTGGCTGTCTTGTTGTGCAATTCTTTTGGGGTGCATTCGTCGGTTCATAAATTAAATGTTTACAAGTTGCACAACCCCAATGTGGGATCGTGAGGTGGCTAATACCAGCAATTATGCACAACACTTGCCCCGAAGAGGCAGCAGTTAAGCTGTCAGCGGACATGGCTATCCCCCGATTTGGCTAATTGATTGACAATTTTGCATTGACAAGCATTTATTTGTCATTGCTATGCACAATGCATATTGGCAAAGAGCCGCCGGTTGTGGCAATACCTGTTCGGCCGATCGACTCTGTCATCGCTTTTGTGCAATCATAAAAACACGCAAAAATCAAGGCCAACATTAACGATCGATGCTCAGTACATGCCAAGTTTTTGTCAAGTTTTTGCCTCTGCTCTCCTTAATCCACGGTGGAGGTTGTCATAAAAGTAAGGTGAGTTGAAACGAGTCCAGAAAACTAATGACAGCTGCCTTATTTATATACTATAAGTAGAAATTGTACCTGTCAAAATCATTCCATTCAGAGCGACTTTTAATTGATGGAACTTTTGTGTTGTACCTTTCACTTATTAAGTTGGGTGAGTAGAATATTTTAAAACGGAGTCAAAAATAAACAAACTTATTCTTTAATATACGTATTTATATAAAATAGGCGAATTTTAATTAAAACTATAATTAATTGATAAATACCAAAAGGAACATCTATTTTATGCGTCAGGAGAACATAACACTCATTAAAATAACAAAATTCTAAACTACCTATCTTCAGAAATTTAGGCTTTATTTTGGTTATGTTTTTTTCGGTGTGTGATCCATTATGGAGCATAAAAGCATAATTCCGAGACCGAAATCAAAGCGGCGCGGACAACTATTCCGATTCAGCCAGATCTCAACACGTTTTGCTCCGTTTTGAAAACCTTTTAATGGCTCCAGTTTGACAAGACCTGTTATTAGGCGGCATGAGAAGCCATAAACTCGGATTTGTGTAACAATGGTCGCCCTGCTGGCAGTGTCACTTCCGACAGACAAAATAGCTGAATTGCCGACCCTGAACTTGAGTGGATGGCGCATAGCAAATCCGAGATTTTGGCTTCATTTTTTCTCGTTTTTTGGTTCTTGGCCCCGTGTTTAATGGCCAACTCAGAACTGCGCAGTGGGTTGAACGAACGGCGTCGTAATGGAGGGACTCTCCTTTGGGCGTAATACCGAGAATACCAGGCACTCCTCTGGAGTCCGACCCAAAGCGATCTTGATCGCGATCTGGTAATGGTAATGAGCGGCAGCCGCCCGCAGGCGTTCCACAAAACGCTGCTCACTAATTAAAAACAATCAGTAAAGACTAAGTAAACGCCGCTCCACACGGCCGGCATTACACCGCATTATCATTATCTTTGATTAACGCAGTTTAGACCGAAAATAATCATTTATTATCAAGCTGACTGGCTGGGCTGCAGTTATGTTTTGCAGCATGCCTTGTTCCAATCTGAAATTAAGTGCTTAGACAAAATATTTTTGCGAAATTTTGTGCAGCCCCATAAAAAAAACCAAAAAAAACAAAAAAGAAGTAAAACACCTAGCTTATGTTTTTTTGGGTCAAGCTTAGATTTAATTTAATGTGGCTAAAATAAAAAGATTTGTGGATTGGTGTGGATTATAGTTGCTTATTTTGGCTCTTGGTGGTGTGGCTTACCAACTGGATAAATCGCCTGAGATCTCGGTATCTTATAGTTATTGTAAATCTCTTTTATTACACAACATTATCGAAAAGGCGAAACAAAGTTTAACGCTTGCATTTGGCGCGTTCAAATTGTAATTCGATAATAAGTATGCCATAATCATTTTATTAGCGCCTTAATTGAAATAATTTATATTGGCATATGGGGGTACCCCTCATAAGTAGTTATGTTTTTTGTGGTTCGTGCGGGCACAAAAACTGCAGTTTAATAATGAATATGGGCCATGTATTTCTCATTTACCATTTGTGAATTGCAGTTTTTGCAATGCGGGCAAAAGGCGAAAGCCCCGAAACGATAATGATAAATGGTTATTCCCTTAGCTTCGAAATCGTGTCATGAGTGTGGGTGATGAAAGTAAGTCAAAGATACGAGGGGGTTTATTACAGAGGGTATATCCACAATTACCGAAATCTGATTAATGAAAGCAAAGGAGAGATGCGAAAACAAAAGCCATTCATCAATCAAAGTGTTTTCAACAAACGCACAAGGTGATAGGTGGTAGACAATGAACTGTCTTCGAAAGAAAGAGATCATGGGGGGATTACTCCGGTTATGGCGTCGTTATTAAGTCCCACAATCAATTATGCTCTTTGGCCTTATATTTAACTCTTCAAAAGGTCATGAGAAGATAATCAGGCGATCACGATTGGAAATGGATTAACGAAATAATATGATAATTTATTACAAAGCAATAATCCCACAGAAGAAGAAGATGTTAAATAAAACAAACAAAGACGTTCAAGACCTTCCATTTAATTTCCTATTTCTTAATTTAAGCTAAAGACTATAATTAAAACAGGTATTTTAATTATTTTGGTGTCTAATTGATGTAGCTATAAACTATCTTTTAAATAATACGAAAATAAGATAATCAAATGTAAGCTTCCTTTTATTCCCTTAGTTAATTGTCTTATTAAATCTTGATTACTTATTTGATTATCGCAGTAGCTATTGTAAGCTGAGGATTTTCCAAGCATAAACTTAGCTTAGTCATAGCCACTAAGTAACATCCGCTTGAAGTACTCACTATCTCCAACAAGCTGGAAACCCCAGAATGCAGATCAGATCCACACCGACGTAGTCATATAGTACTTTATGATGGTGGGTGTGATGTGCCCAACGCCAAAGTGAAAATATCATCCATAAATCTGGCTGCCAGTTTTCGCGCCGTAGGTGATCGTTAAATTTACATCTTAATGGCTTCTGGTGCAGAACGCGAGAAGACATCCGGCAGATCACTGAGCTGGGTCCAACTAACATATGGTGGAATGGCCAACTGACCTTCACTCCACGTCGAGAATCATAAATTAAGGGTTTAAGAATGACTTCATCTGCCCGATGTCGAACAGCCGAAGCGTGTCACGTAATTAGCTTGGATTTATATTTACAACACTAGCTCATTTGCATATAAAGCACTGGCCTAGCCTCCGATTCAGGTTCGGAATGAGATTCAGTTTCGAGTTCTTGCTTTTCCAGGCACATATCCATCTTCATCAGCGGAGAGGTTCAAGGCCTGGCAAATTGTCGCTCGTTCAATGCAATGGCAGCCGCTAAACCATCTATCAATTAAGCAAACTAACCTTGATAAATCGGAGAGCAAACAACTGCCCCCCAAAACACCCCCCCTTTAACACCCCCTTAACACCCCCCATAACACCCCCCTTACACTCCCCCCAAAAGCGCATTAAAAGGCTAGCGTTAAATTTGAACATGGCTCTTTGACGCCAAAT